ACATTCCCCAAGTGGTTCTAATTCCCTCCAAAGTTTGGGAACAACTGCTAGCTGTTACCTTGAAGCTCTTTAATGCTATAATAACTATGAAATCTTAAATGTAGCCCCTGCCCTGGAAAAACGGATACTGAACAGAAATATATGAAAAATGAAATTCTAGTCAGCCTGTGACAATTTGTTTTCTCCTTTAAAATACTTCTGAAAGTATTTTTCCTACTGTTTTCTACACCAGTCATTCTGGCTACTCCTGAAACTTGCCGTTCTATTCCAGCGTGGTCCTGGGAGAACTCCTTCGCCCTTACTTCCACCACAGTCCCCTGCCCCTGAAGTGCAAAATATTGACACCCATGGAAAAGGGAAAAGGAGGCAGCTGCCTGGGATTGTCTCCAGGCTCTGCCTTTCGCTTGCTCTAGTTTTCTTCATCCCTTTACCAGGCAGACCAGAGCTTGCAGGCATCAATGTCTCCTTAGAGTTTAATCCAGTGGATACTGTATGTAAATACGTAAATACAGTGTCTTATGATGCCTCAGAGGGCTTAAATTTTCATTCTAGAAGTAGGGCAGGAACATTTGCCTATAAATGTGTCTTCTGCCTCTGGGCTTCCAAGTTTTGCAATTAATTGGGGCTATTTTTGTATAGTTCTAGTTTAATTATGCATAGAAGCAATTCAAAAGTTGGCATATAGTTATGAATTTCTCTCCCCAAAATCAATCTTTTCCTTTGCTCCCCAAAGCCAAATCGAGTGCCAGACCCTATCAACTCTGCTTTCAACATTTTTCAAGATCATCCTTAACTTTTCATTTTCTTGCTACCATATTTTAAAGATGTGTATGGAAGAAACTGATTTCTCATTCCTCTTCACCATCACACCAGGACATCTTCTAGGCCCACTTAGGCCAACTTGCTGAAGTTTCCAGTATGTAGTGGGATATCTTGCCTACTAGGATTTCAGAGTCATTTTGTTCGTGTCTTTAATGTGGGATCTAACCTACCACTCTACAGTTTTAAAAAAGGATCAAATGCATAATCCCTTAGGAAAAGTCGCTTAAATTTATATCATAGATACTAAAAGACTGGTGTAAGGTTTGTTTCAACAATAGTAGTTATGGAAGGGAAGTAAAAGAAGTGGAACTCTATAAGAGAAGGTGGAAGATAAACATCTAAGTACTTTAAATTCTGCCTTGGGCTAATCCTGCTCCCCACTACAACATTCTAAGCACAGTGAGCACTCAGAGAACTCTCACCCTACTGACTGGATGGCTGATAGTCTGGGTGGTAGTCTACCTACTTTACCAAGGATCCGCCCAGGCAAATGCCAGGTACTTGCAATAGAAGTTGTTTGCAAACCCACTTAAAATTGATGATGCACCTGTTAGCCAAGTGGGGCACCCCAGAGAAGCAGCTGCTCAGCCTCTGTTCCTGTGCCATCCTCCTGTCTCAGGGCTTCATCTTTCAAATAAGAATCGCTAACCCAACATTATGGTTTGCAATTAAAGGGTGGCTACCTCCACGCATTTCACGCTCAGCATTGCAGCCGCCACATTGTCGCCATGTGCTCTTTGTGTACATATCTGTCTTCCTGTCTTAATTACCTTTGCATCTTTGGATGGGCCTGCCCCCAGCACCTGCCTCAGTTACTTAGAAGAGTAGCTACTCAATAAGCGTTTAGTCAATACATATTCACATAGGTATGCCTCATCTTAGGAGTTTTGCATTTCAAGCCCCCCTCCTGCTCCTCTCTCCTTCTGTTCTCTCATTCTCCCCCAGATATCAAGGAGCTTTCCATTTTTCTCTTCTTCACTATTGCCCTTGTATCCACTCTCCATCTTGTATATGGAATAATCCCCCTAAAGATGCTCAACCTACTCTTTAGGGAACAGTACCAAAAATACAATCCTCATATTTTCCAAATCTAAATATTGGAGCATGTGTTCTAACCAGTAGAAGTTTACTCAGTAGCTAATAGGAAGTAATATTGAAACAAGACTGCCCCTGACAATCCAAAATGTATGGTTGTTGAAGCTCAAAGAGGACAAGGAGAATGGTCTGTGTTGTAATCCTCCACGGCTGCACCTTGTGATTTGGTCCAGCCTATCTCTCTGATCTCCCCTCCTACCTCTCTCTGCCTCCCATGGGCTGCCCCAGCCACGGCGACCCCCTTTTGGTCCCTTGAACTAGACAAGCTTGGTCCTCTCTCAAGTGCTTTGCACTGGCTCTTCCTTCTTCCTGGAACCCTCTTCCCTAGATCTTTGCAAGACTCTCATCTTCTTATCATCCATGTCTCAGCCCAAAAGTTACCTTCTCACAGAGGCTTTCCTTAACAGCTGCCACCTCCAGATGTCCCTTGCCCCTAGTTACTCTTGACCCTATGACTCTGTTTTATTTTCTTCCTAGTACTTACTTCTCCACAAAGTATCTTATGTTCACAGTTTTTCTCCACCTCAACCTACCATCCATTACAATGGAAGCATCACAGAGCACATTTTTGCCAGTTTGTCCGCTCCCATACCCCAGCACCTAGAACTGTGCCTGAGACACAGTAGGTGCACAACAAAGCTGTGGAATGAATGGATGGACACTGCCCCTTCTGCCGCATGTGGCGGCTCACTCACGTATCCTCAGCTCTGTGGAGCTGAGAACTGTGTGATCGGCTCTTGTAGTTTTAAGTCCACCCAAACCTCTGTAGGGAAATGCACCTCCCACAGGAAAGGGGCACACACAGGAGGATCCCAGTTTTGGCTGAGTAGGAAACGGAAGTCAAAAGTGTAGGACAGAAGGAGGAAACAGAACCAGAGACAGAGCTAAGCAAAAGAAATGTGGTTAAAAAAAAAAAAAGGAAGGGCCCCTTCAGGTGGAAAGGCTAGAATACTGAAATTGGACTGGTAGTCACCATGACCCAGTTGAGAACTTTGCCACAAACTCACTATGTGGCCTTGGGTTCGTCATTGCTCTACTCTGGGTTTGAAATGCCACACTTATAAAATGAGGAAGCTGCAAGTCTTTTTGGTCCTTTCCAGTGACCATTCTTTAAAAGGAGAGCCCTAGGAAAATATGATCTGCCCTATTGTAAGTGTTAAGGGGCTATAGTGCAGTAGTCCCAGTTCCCACCAAGAACTAAGAAAGGAGGTAAGTAAGGTTTACCTCTGAGAGTCAGCGTTACCAATCAGAGGTCAGATATGCGGAGCTGTCTGAGGGATAAGACAGGGTCTCTAGGCCAGCAAGACCACAACAGTCACCTGTTTAAACATATTAATGTGTCTAAAGAAAAAAAATGTGTCCATTAGGGGAGAACAGAGTGTTCTCTAACCTTGGAAAGAAGGAGAGGCCAGAGGCAAGGGCTGGCTCTACACTTCTAGTGCCGTCTAGGGGAAGGGTCTTCACCCTCTGGGCTTCCCTCCCAGTGGAAAGGCTGGCTTCGGTGTAAGATGAACACTTTAGCTTATAGGTTCTGAGTATGTTCAGGAGAGTGTAGGACAATAGTTAAGAGTCCAAACTCTTCAAAGCTGGCTTCAAATCTCGACTCTTCCATTCACTAGCTACATGACCAGGGCAAGTTATTAAACCTGTATCTCTATTTTTTCACCTGTGAGATGGGACTGATGATAATAGTAAGTATCCCCAAGAATTGCTGGAGGAATTAAGTTAATATATGTATAGCACTTAGAATAGGGGCTTTATTATAATTTCATTGGCAAAGTCATCTCTGGCTAGCATGCATGCCTCAGGCCTAATGATGTCAAATATTTGTTTCTCCTCCTTCTGATGTCATTTTCAACAAGCAACCTACTCCTTCTTGTGTAGGTTTGCTTACACAGAAAAAATGTGCTTATCACAGAGATTCTGAGAAATCCGCATCCCAGAGCCTGCAATATCTCATGGCCAATCGATAAATTACTTCCAGTTATGCCTGGGCCTCCCACATTGCTTGACCACAGAAGCAAGATGCAGGCATGATGTGAATGGAGGATTTTGGTCCAGGGGCAGATCTGTTTTGATTTTCAAATCAACACACTGGTTTTCTGGTGCTTATCTCTACCTTAGTGTGCTTGGGTTAGAATGCAGACACTCAGGCTCTGATTTTCCTGATGAGCCATGTGCCCGAGTCCTCAGTCCTTAAAGTAGAGGGCAGTCCCAGCTGGTCTTCCCACCCCACAGTGGTGCCACCTGTATCAGCTCCCTGTCCAGTCCTGCACACAGCGGCTGCTGTTCCTGCCGTGGGTAACTTTATGTGAAAGAACAAAGAGCTTTTGGAAAACTAGTGGGTTAAAAATATAGGAAAGGAGGATGATACAAGCAGAAGCATTAATCCAAGTGTTCCTGCTGACCTGCCAGCAGTGACTTTTCCTTGACAAAAAAAAAAAGTGCATATATTTTCATTTTATTCTGTGACCCTGCCTGGAACACCAACCACCCTTTAGGGATTTGTCTGCATTTTAAGCATTCTCAGTTAAAAGTGTGAGTCATTCTGGAAGGGTTAGAGATCTCTCAGAGATGATACACATCAGTGGGAATGTGTTCAAATAAGATTTCCTTCTTCCTGACACCTTGCTGGATTGGGTTTACCTCTAAGAAGTCGAAGATTTGTGAGTTTTGTTTTGTTTTGTTTTTGGAGAGAAGAGAGAGACGGAAAGGGGAGGTAAATGAGAAGGCTGAAACACTTAGAGAGGTCCATGAGACCTGCTCAGGGTGGGGGGAGAAATTGAGAGGTTCAAGGACCAGGTGGACCATGGGAGGTTCAGCTATGACATGGGTTAGGTTGGCATTTCCGGATTGGCCTGGGAAGGCAACCAACGACTATAATATTGTTCCCCTGGAAAAATGCAGCTTGAACTCCCAATACATAACTTGTAAAGGAACTTTTGAGATACAATCCATGTAACTGAGTTCTTAAATAGTGGACTTCCTATATCAGATCTTGGGAAGAAAGAGAAAGTCCCAGGAAGCATTTGGTGTGGCATTGGGGAAAAAAGGTCAGAAGCATAGAGCACATAATGTGTTGGAGCTGGAAGAACATTTGTCCCTGGGGTGTGGGGCAGGCAGTGAGCTGCTGAAAACCCAGGCCAGCAGAGACACCTCTCCAGAGACCCCGCAGAAAGATGTCTTGCATTTGAAGACAGGAAGTTTCGGGCACTCGGGTTATGCTGACGTTTCATTCTGGGTTCTTGGGACAGCCTTGCCTCTTGACTCTCAGAGAACCCAGGGCCTCCGTCTGCGTCTACCTGAGAGTCCTCGCGGAAAGGAGAGACAGGTAAGAACTCAGCGGGAGAAGCCAAGCCTTGGTAGTGAGGAGACTTGGATCTAGATACAGTTGGGGGTTAGGACTGAGGGACAATTCAGTGGAGGGTATGAAAGGGATGGGGGATCAGGAGCATCGAGTGAGGGGATCAAGGCAGGACACACAGACCAGGCAAAGGTGAGGTGCGGGCGCCCGCGGAAAAGGGAGAGTCGAGACGAGAGGGCTGGGGCGGGGTGGAGAGAAGGCGCTGGGAAGCTGTCCCTGCGGCGCCGTGCGCTCGGAGGAGGGAGGCGGGGTGGGTCTGGGGCGGCGTGCGGCGTGTGACAGCCGAGGCTGCGGCGGCTGGAACAGGTGAGCGGTCGCCGGGTGGCGGGTCCCCGCCCTTCCCCGCGACGTGCCTCCTCCTACCGACTCTCCCCGGCGCTTAGCTCTTCCGCGGCTCCCCTTGGTTTGGGGTTTTGCAACTGGCAGCTGGCTTTTTTTTTTTTTTCCCCTCCCCTGTTTCTGTCTCTCCTTCTTCTTTTAGGTTGCTCCACCCCGCCCAGGATCAGGCGAGGGGGAACCGGCTTGGCTGCGGCTGCCAACTCGCGCCGAGCGCGTCTGCGAACTCCCGGAGTGGAGTCCCGCGTCCTGCCTCCTGCCCGCGGGGCGCGCGCTCCTCGCTCCCCCAGGGCCCGCGTCCTCCCCGCGCAACCCTTCCCCACTTTTCCCCCCTTTTGCAATCACATGGCATTTTAAGAATGCCGGAAAGATGGCGGTAGCGGCGGCGGCGGCGGCGGCAGGGCCGGCCGGCGGGGGAGGGGGCCGCGCGCAGCGGAGCGGGCTGCTGGAAGTTTTGGTGCGGGATCGCTGGCACAAAGTTCTGGTGAACTTGAGCGAGGACGCCCTGGTTTTGAGCTGCGAGGAGGGCGCTGCGGCGTACAACGGCATCGGGACCGCCACCAATGGCTCGTTCTGCAAGGGCGCCGGCAGCGGGCACCCGGGCGCGGGCGGCGCGCAGCCCCCGGACTCGCCCGCCGGGGTCCGCACCGCCTTCACCGACCTCCCCGAGCAGGTGCCCGAGTCCATCTCAAACCAGAAGCGTGGCGTGAAGGTGCTGAAGCAGGAGCTGGGCGGGCTGGGCATCAGCATCAAGGGGGGCAAGGAGAACAAGATGCCCATCCTTATCAGCAAGATCTTCAAGGGGCTGGCGGCCGATCAGACCCAAGCCCTGTACGTGGGCGACGCCATCCTGTCGGTGAACGGAGCCGACCTGCGGGACGCCACCCACGACGAGGCGGTGCAGGCGCTGAAGCGCGCTGGCAAGGAAGTGCTGCTGGAAGGTAAGGGGTTAACGCCGCGCGGGCCGCGCCGGGCGCGCACACACCCTCTCGCCCTCCCGCCGCACTCTCACACTCACCCACGTGCCTCACACCCCAGGGGGCCGGGAGTGGGGGCGGCCTGGAGTTTTGACAACTTTTACCCATCTGGGGGCAACTTGTCCCCACTTAGAGTCGTTACTGGCTTTGATCCAGTAGGGTGTATGAAAAGGCTAGGCGAGCAGGGATTCTTGAGCTCCTATGTGCCAAGCACGGTTTGCATGCTTAGTGCACGTTGTCTCATTTTTATCCGCGGATAATCCAACTGTCGTGTAGGGGCTGGGAAGTGGAACTGAAAATGAAGAGTAGACGTCCACGTTACGAAGCGAGCACACTGAGTAACCGCAACTCTGATAGTTTTCTGTTTTGGCATAATTTTCTCCAAAGAAGCCCGGGCAACTCAGCTAAAAGGGTTGAAACATAAAGGGGCCAGAGAGCGCTGGCAGTGTTTGAAGGCTGAAGCTCCGACCACCCTTCAAGACTTCCCTCCTTTCAGATTGGAAGCTGGGGTGGTGGCTGGGGAATTGTGCCACGGGCTGGGAAGTTTATGCAGACGTTCACTTCTGCTGCCAGGTGTTAGGCCGGTCAGTCTGGATTCCAGGTTGCTCTGGGTGGAGGGCTGGTGAAGTGATTTCTCTGCCAGAGTTTTCCGGGGATTCTTCCCGAGTGGTGTGGAAACAACTTTGCATTTGTAAACAGTTTCCCTGTGTGTGAGGCATCTTAGAAACTACTCTCTTGAGATCTGATGTCCCCAATCCCCTAATTACTGCGTGTGAGTAGAATAGGTAGCATCGTTTGTACCCTCTCGTGGTTATGTGTGGTTATTTCGGGAGAAGGTCAGTAGGGAAGTTGTGGGTAATGCCTTCTTTCCACTACAGCTGTATTTCTCTCTTGATATCTGTCTCTCTGCCCCTTAGCTCACTTTGTACAAAACTCTGTCAGCACTAATATGTAATTATTTCATCTTCCCCCTAACTGTAGACTGAGTTCTGGGGTCTTTTATTTGCTTATGGGTCCTCTCCATTGAGCTTAGGTGCTCAGTGACATGCATGCTGAGTGAATGAATAAATGAACCCATAGCCATTGAAACAATGTTTCAACAGAGACCCTTGTAAACTGGTGGTTGATTTAGGTCCCTAAATTAAGGACTTAAGTCAATTTCCTGCTCAACAGTTGTGCTGGCTGTGAAACTGAGAAAATTCAAAGTTGGGAAACCAACTTTGTTACATATGACAGCTGATGCAACTGTCTGGTACATGATGGCCCACCTCCTGGCCTAGAATACAGAGAATTTTCTCCCCCTTATTGGTCTAGAGGATTTGCGATGTCTTCATATTTAATTGCTACCCTGGATCCAGAAAGTGGAAAGCTGTTTGCTTTGGCTTATGATTAACATAAGTAAACAGAAAAAAGTTTTTTTGGCTCAAGTGTGTGTTGGATTGTGTGACAAGGGGCAGGTGGGATCTGGAGCAAGTGTAGTTTGGACTATAAACTACTGGGCACCTGCACAGCTTCAATACTTACTGTAAAATATCAGGGGGATGAAAGGCAGGTCATTTTTATTTCAGGCACTGCCCTTCATTATGTGCCTTTTTTCCCTTCTTCTCCTTGGTTTCAATTTGATGAATAATGACTTAGCAAAGAGGTAAAAAATATCTCTCACCCAAAAAAGAGGAAGAAAAGATGACTCCCTGCAGTTGAAAATAAACTTAAAGAAAAATAAAATCAAGCAGTTATGTGAGTATTGATGCAGCAACTGAAAAGTGAGTTTTGTAAACGTCTAACATGTCATTCTCACAACACGTTGTCATGTGTTGTAAGCAGGACATCTGGGAAAGACCTGTGGGCCTCCTAGACATGAACCACCTGGGCTTACCTTATCCCCATCCTGAGTTTTCAGAAATCCACTGCTATTAAGAGAAGCAAGCATCGGCCCCATTCAAAAGAGTGTCTCATATTCTGAGGCGAAGTGTTGGTCCTAAAAGCGATGGAAGTAATCACATACCATCCAGTCAAATATCGCGCATCCTCTCTTTTGTAACTTGGCCTAGTACATGGATTCCCACCTGGAGGGGCTTATCAGAATCACGCAAACGGCTTTTTTAAATCACGTACCCACTTGCTCATATTCTGAAACGCAGCCTTCATTCCAGAATTTTTACATAGGACAGGCTTTGTAATTTAGTTGGATGAGAGAACTAAAGGAGGTGTTTTAAAGGTATATTTATATGGCAAATACACAGTTTTTTACTTAGATTGCTTTTTTTGGTTTGTTTTTTGAGGCAGCCGGTGGAGGTTGGTTTAGTCCCTCCTCCGCTGCCAATACGCACCCCTTTGCGTGATATGCGCCCCCTAGTGGAGAGTCACTACCTCTACTAGTGGAACATCCTGTGAAATGAAACCCTGAACTGCAAGCTGCCATGCCTGCCTTCTAGTCGTCGATTCTGCTGCAGAATCATCTTAACCTCCCAGCCTCAATGTCTTCTTCTGAAAAATGGGAACAAAGAAACCTTCTGGACATGCTTACTCACTGGGCTGCTGTATGAAGAGCACTCTGAGAATGAAAGAAAAAAAAAAACGTATGAAACGCCTGCTGTGATAGCTATTTTTACAATTCAAATGTAAAGAAGATGAAATTGCCCCTTCTAAGGGACACTCCTTTCCTCTATTTTATATTTCTTAATTTTAGTCTACTTTTTTTTTTTTTGGTACTATAGAACTGTAATGTTAGGAGACTATTCCTCTGGGGAAAGAGAATCATAGCAATAACTAACATTTCTTGAGCCCTTAATATGTCCAGGCTTTACTTGGGTTTGTTCATGTTATACTTCTAGAACTCCATGAGGCCTGTACTACTGTTGTTCATTTTACTAATGAGGAAACTAAAGTTTACAGACAGTAGGTTATTTGCCTAAAGTAACATAGCTAAAAGGCTTCCAGGTCTATGCGACTTAAAAGTTTGCACTTGTAACCTCTCAGTGAAATTGATACTCTGAGCTTCTACTTCAACTGTGTACTCCAGTCAGTTGAAGCTTCATCAGTTATTGGGCTCAAGATGTTCTTCCCCACTCCTCAAATATGCTGAAGTGCTTGGGACAATGTTGAGCAGGAAACAGCAATTGTGTGGGCTGCTCAAAAGGGAGGGACAGGACAGAGGACTGAGGCTTAAAACCCTAATGCACCAAGTGTCTGGCTATCAACAGGGAGCTGCTGCGATATGGCCCAACTTGACAATGTAACAGGGCGTCCGTCATTGAACACATGGCCAGCAAGGAACTTAAATTGCAATTCAAAGTTAAAATAAACAGTGAGTAAACTATGCCAGTTAAATCAGTGTTTAATCAAATATACATTAAGGTTAAGATCAGAAATCCTCGCACTATGAACTCATTTCCCATTTCAGAAAGTGGGAGTAGGAGCCCTGCATTCAGCCGTGCAGATGTTGAACCCCATAACTCCAGGAGACACCATTCACATAGACTACAATGTGAATGGCACCCTCTGGAGTTGCACAGAGACACCCACATGAACATCCTTGGCAGCTCTGAGTGGGGGGAGGGAGGAGTTTTTTGCCCTTATATTAATAGCAAAATAGTAATTTGAAATATATCGACCTTTCTGTGACTGAAGCTACAATAAAATTAGTTTCTCCATACCTTTGTCAAGATCGAGGAGTGCAGAATATTCTGGAAGACTCATATCGGGGTGGGGAGGTGGGGTGTGGAAAGAATCATCTTTGAGTCCAAAAGGTCTCCTGTAGAACTGGGCCAGAAAAAGTGGAAACTTGAAGGAGAAAATCAGGGACGGTTGTTGACATTAACCATGTGCATCAAAGCTTTTCCCCCAGTACTGCTCCCAGGAATGCATAGCTATTGACATCATCAAAAAATGTCACTTTCACAGTCATTTTCTCCAGTGGTAGAAGTGGGGATGGTGGGGCAGGGAGATGGGTGCAAGGGAGGGGCATTGATTTTGCCAGCATAAAATCACAGGATTGGATGAGAATACGAACATTAAGGAAACTTACTTTGTTTAGGATGTAGAGATTCTCAAAGAATACCCAAGAACCCTGGAATTAGAGTCTTAAAACTTGGGTTCTTATCTTTTAACTAATAGTTACATTTTTATAAGACACTTTATCTCTTTGGGCCTTGATTTTCTTCATTGGAAAGATAGGGAGCTGGATTAAGCCATCTCTAAACCTTATTTCACCTTAAATCCTATAAATTCAGACCCAGCACATTTTTAATAGCAAATTTTTCTGATACCCCTTTATTATCATGAAATTAGTTTCTTAAATAATATAACCTCACTCTAATTTAAATTTAAAAATCAATATAATGCCCTATTATTATTATATAATTAACATTAATAAAATGGAGAAATGAAGTGAATTACAAAAAAAAAAGTGTTTCAATAGATAAATGCCTGGTACAACTACACCAGAGGTCGTAATGAAGGCAGTAGATGCTAGAACTTGTATGTAATATCACCATCAATGCATAGCACAAATGAAGATGGATAGGGGTGTGTGGTCTCATTTGGGATCCGGAAAAATCTTGCTCTGTGAAGAACTGCCTCAGATGTTGCAAGATGTCTCAGATTCCTGGCTCCTATCACTAAATGCTAAATGACTCCATAAATTTATGAACTGCTATTGGGGAGGGGCATCTTGACTCTCTGCCTTCCTGAGAACCAGTGTTCTATATAAGAATGCTAATTCTACCTAACTACTTTGTAATGCCTAACCCTTTGGAAACTCTTTTTACATATGTAATAATAGCTAACACTCATATAGTTCTGAAATTGTGCCAGAGGCTGTTCTAAGCACTTTACATGGACCAGATCATTGGATTTTTTAACCCAATAACTATTAGTATGTCTGTTTCACAGATGAGAAAACTGAGGCATAGATCATTTAAGTCAGTTGCCAAAGAAACACAGGGAATAAGTGCTGAGGCTGC